TTTTTTAATGTACAGTATGTGTAAAGAACAGTAGGTACATTGCTACGTTACATTATCAAAATTGTTTCCCCTACAGTTTTGTTACAGCTTATCCTGGCTTTTCACACAGTGTTTCTAGAAACAGATCTGTATCCAGATAAAATTAATAAACTAAAATTTAAGTAGTTCACCTTAATCAACATGGAGTGTGCTGTATTATTTTGTCTTGGTTCTTGAGACATGTAAGTGATGAAGACCACTGATATAGGGCTTGATCCTGCAAACACTTATGTACCTGAGTAACTATACACACGTTGGGATGGCTCTCCCCCTGCTGCAGTAGAATTCCCAAGAGAGGGCTTTTGGGGAAGGAATTTCGGCAGGAAATCCCTTGCAGATTCTCTCCATCATAGTCCCTTTGAGGGGAGACAGGGTGCAGGGTTTGTCCTCCATGGAAAATGGTGCAGGGATCATTGTAGAGGCCAGAACTATCCATGCAGAGACACTTTGTCTTTGCATGGGCTCTGGCCCCAGGAACCCTCCTTCCCAGCTTCTGGGCAGTGGAGTGTAGTTTCTCCCCTGAGGTGTAGCACAAGCCTCCTCTCTGAGCTTGCTAATCAGAGTGGCTTTTCTCTGCCAGCATGGATTGGGTCCTGAGTTCTTCGTTGCAATGCCTGGTGCCTCCACCCAAGGTGTCTCTTCTCTGTGCCTGGGACACAAGGGGTGCTGTTTCAGGGAAACAACTAAGGGATATCTGCACTAAACTTGTATCCTAACGGATTAGGAGCTTCTGGAATGAATCACAAAGACCCAGTATATCATTTTAAAGTAAGATTCCACAGACCACTGGTTTAATCTTGCAACTCTCAGAACACAGCATGCCACTTCACCCTTTGTAGCTAACTGCCCTCTCCAGTCAATACCAAAACCTGGGCTGGAGTAACGTGACCCGGCTGCTATACTCGGTACTCTAAAAGACTGGCAAAGATCACGGAATGGATTTTCCACAAACACTATGGATTCTACGATGGCACAACTGTAGCACTATTGCTATGTTCCCATAGAGCCATAGTATACAGACAGAAGGTGTTTTTCCATTGAAAGAATTAGTCCTTCTCCCCAAGCGGGAGTAACTAGGTTGATAGAAGAATTCTTCCTTTGATCTAGATACATCTACAATAGGGGCTACTTCGGCTTAACTATGGCTTGGGGTGTGAATTTTTCACACTCCTGAATGGCATACTTAGGTCAATCTAAATTTTAAGTGTAGACCAGGGTTTATACTGTACTGTTAACAAGGAGTATGACACAGTACACAACAAACAAAATAGTCATACAAATCCCAGCAAATAAAATGCCACACCCAAAATAACAGTGTAACAAAAGAGGGCCTTGATTGGTGACAGGAAACAGAGGCTCTAGGGAGGGAACGTGTTATGGTTAAACATTAATAATACAACAAATTCCCCACCTCCCAACATTCACAGATGTACCATAGCCCCCAGCTCTCCCCTGGCACCTTCCCAGGCAGATGGAATGTATAGGACGAGTCCAGAGATGAGTGTAGCAACGCTGCAAATGGCCAGTTTAGAGAACAAAAGGAGCCCTCTGCCAGTATTTTCACTCTTGAATGGGCCGGGTTCTCTCTCTGGTCTGGAGTCCCAGCTGGCTCTAGGTAGCTGGCACCAGGTTGGTTCACTGCCTTTCTGGCCACTGATCTCCACAGGGCTGGAATTGCCTGACCCATGCACTAGATCCCACAGCAGTTCACACCCTTTGTGGGGACTGGGAGCTAAGCAGAGACTCCCTGAGCTGTTCTGCTTCTTGCTCTGCTCCAAAGTCAAAAGCCAAAACTGTTACTAAAAAGCCTTGGTCCTTTGTCTATGAACCAGGCTGCCCCCTCCCATTGGGGGGTTGAGCAGTCCTGGCTCCTCGTTGGCCCAGAAAACTATCTGTATAAATCATCCCATGTTCAAAAGCCTTCCTATTGCCTTATGCAGGAGCTTTCTGTCTACTCTGTCCCTGCCCTGGATTCTAAGCCTGCTGGAAAATGGTGTCCAGAGGCTCTGGAACCATTTTTGCTGTGGTCCATAGGCTAGGGCCCCTAGGATATGTCTACACAGCAATAAAACACCTGTGACTGGCCCATGTCAGCTGACTTGGGCTTGGGATGTGGAGCTATAAAACCTCAGTGTAGATGTTCTGGCTTGGGCTGAAGCCTGGGCTCTGGGACCTCACAAGGGGGGAGGGTCCCTAAGCCCGGGATCCAGCCTGAGCCCGGATCCCTACACTGCAATTTTATAGTCCTGCAGCCAAAGCCCTGCAATTCCAAGTCAGCTGACGTGGGCCAGATCCACCTGTTCTACTACAGTGTAGACACACCCTTTGAGGCTCAGTCCAGCATTCCAGGAGCTGATAAACTCCAAAAGAGGTTAGAGTAGCTTCTCTTTTTCTGCATTAAAATGAGAGCAGATACTGAAAAGGATGATGTCCTGTCTCTTGTGAAAAGATAACATCTCTTTTGGGAGAAAACTAGGACCAGACCTAAGCACCACCTTTTCTGCAAGGAAGATAATACAATGAGGAGGAATGCATTGCAGGGCTGCTAAGTCTCCCGTGTAAAGAGCCAAAATGATGGCCAGTGTGAATACCACTTCCAAATGAAGAGACGCACTGAAGAATGGGTTAGAAGATGAACCAAAGCCAGATTTAGGGTTTAGGATGTGTATAGGGACCGACCTGTCGGGTATAATGTACAAGGCAGCCTCATTTAAAATAAGACATTCTAGGGAGAGTTCCAAAGGAAACTTCTCTAATGCTACTTCTCAAGGATACAATCTGTACTCAGAAGGAGAAAAGAATCCTCATCAAATGCCCGAGGAATTTCTAATGCTGGAACCGGGAAACTGCTATACAAGAAATCCATAAATGCCCTGCCCTTTCCATGCAGTCACATAAATCACGAAAGTTGAACATATTTTATTCACCTTTTCTTTTGGAAAAGAGAATACAGCACAAAATGAGAAAAGAAAATGGACGCTGGGCATGTCTTGCTAAACACTGTGTTCTCTCGCATTTGCTAGTGGATGTGTGCTTCTGGCTTCAAGCCTATACGGACTTGGCTTGGAATAAAAATAAATAAAGCAAACATATGATTATTTTCCATTCACACAAAATATAATGGCTGCTGTCTGATTTGATGCAGTTTCATATCTGAGAGGATTTTCTTTCCATGGGTACCTCACCTAATGATATCTTAACAAGTGTTGTTGCCAACCAGTAGGTTATGCTATGATATAAAATGAAGCGGCCTAGGAAGGGATGTTTGTAAGAACTAACTGCCAATACACCAGGCAGCAAGAGCTTCCATAAGCTCTAACGGATCGTTTCTGCTTGGCCGGCTTCTGCTTTTAAATGTCTAAAAGGGATAGCAATGGAAAGTCTGTTCTACTGGTAAATAAAACATGGGTGAGCGATACAGATTCAGCATACTTCCGGCAAAAAGAAATGGGAGCAAATATGCATATGTTGTATTACAAACTAGATTTGCAACGGAGAAAAAAAGCTGGGTGTCTGGATGGAGACTGCCAAAAATCAAAACAAAAACATGGACGAAAAGTACCAGAAGTGAACACCATGGCATTGAGAAGGTAAAGATAGGAAAAGTATATGCAGCAGCGGCTAAGATGTTTTGGCCTTGTACACAAACAGCTTTCAAAAAGGAAGGTACAGTTTTAATTTCTATGGTTTGCTGCACTATTACCTTCTATTGAAGCATATATGTTTGCAATATACAGCTACTTGGAAGTTTTAGAGTAGTTGTAGTTAAATGAGAAATGCAGTAAATATTGTACTTAAAACATTCTCTGTGGGGGGGAAAAGTGTGTGAAGAGGATATACTGAATGATTGACAAAAGTGGAATGTAGACAATGGACAGAAAACTTATTGGCTAAATCTATTTCTCACTCAAATGAAGTTGCCATCAAAATAATCCTGTGTGATAATTAATGATTGGAGAACTTCAGAAATTTTGGGAGCAAACTGTAAATCTCTGCCAGCTCTGTATCTGTAAACAGCGCTGTATCTAATACTTCAGTGTGCAAACATTTATGTTTTGGAAAAGAATATAAAAACTCTCTCCTTCATCAGAACTCATGTGAAATATATATCAGCTGCACTCCACCTGCATCCTCAAAATGAAATATTATCAATTTCTGTTATGCTCTTTAATCATAATAAAGCTTGCAAGTAATGAAAATGTGACTCATCTTAAACATCTGGGATACTCAGATCCACAGATGTCTAGAATTCTTATTTGAAAGATTGTTTTTCACTTTGTCAGAATACAACAATGTCAAAAAGGTGGCAGTCAGTGTTTATATAACACTTCAATTTTTACCCCTATTAAGGAGTCTGTCATTCCCCATTCCTACTTCTTCATTGCAAGAGCCTGTTATGTGATACAGATGCAATCCACTTGTGATTAAATCACAGTGACATCCATGCAAATTGCCTGTGTTGAGTGAGGACCCTGTATGGCCCATAGTTGAAGCCAACTGGTATGGTTTGGTAGGCTTAAACCCCCTTCCCTTGGGAGGGTTGTCCATTTTTAATTAACCAGACTGGCTGTTTTACATTTCCGTTTTTTAAAATAGAGATGATCTATTATAATCAAAATGTCCAAAAGGCTTAAAGGATTTATCAAATAATAGACTCTGAGGCCAATATTTATTTTAACATTCCCTCACTCCTTTCTCCCACACTCCCCTATAACCTAGAATGTGACTAGACATACTTTGAGACTGATGACATTAACTACAGAACATATGAAAATCTCCATTCCTCTTCCCATGCTCACCACATGAGAGCATTTTGATGTTAGTATCAGGACCGGCTCTTGGCACCAGCAAACCAAGCACGTGCTTGGGGTGGCACAATTCCAGGGGCGGCATTCCAGACACCTTTTTTTTTGTTGCTTGAGGCAGCAAAAAACCCAGAGCCGGCCCTGGTTAGTATATTGCTTGAAAGGGACAGTGTGCTAATCCTGTCAGACGCGCTGTGTGTTTATTGTAGCTCTTTAATGGAGAGGGAGCAGGAAATGCTGAGAGAGAGTAGAGAGGCTAGAGTTGGCTCTCAGGAAGAGTAGCCTAGGTTCCTGCTGGCTTGCTCATCTGTCAAGATGGAGGACTGCCTGAACACCAGCGACTATCTGATGATTAATAAGCCCTAGCTCTTATGTGGAGTTTTCCATCAGCAGATCTCAAAGGAGGTCAGTATTATTATAACATAACAGTGCCTTAATGTGCTGTGGGTGTCTATTATGCCCAAATCTCACTGGATTCTGAATTGGAGCCATTTCTGGGTGAGGGGCCTCCTGCAATAAAACACAGGCAGCTCAGGAAATTTTCCTCCTTGAGGCCCCCTTTGCTGTATCAGCTTCCTGCTGTACTGGGGTCTGACTCCCAGCAGTCCTTGTGTGGTCTGAAGAAGCAAGTGTAGAACAGCGGAGCTGCCCCCTCCCCACCAAGCTTGGCAGCAGCAGCAGCTGGATTCACATAGTCTCCCATAGTGCACAAAGGGGGATTAATGAAGATAGTAGGAGCCCTGGGAAAGACCTTTTCCTGTAGGCTGGAGACAGCCATGAGTTGCGGGATGGGCGGGCCTATTGGGGGAACAAGGGGCTGTGGGAGCTTGCCAGTGTGGAGGATGCTAGGTGAGGTGGGGAGGGATTGGGGATCAGCAACCTGCAATTTGGTGTGCATAATTTATGCATTTAAGGTTGAATTTTCACTTATAAATGGTGCACATGAGAGATGGGCAGGGGAGTTAAAAAAACAGAAGGTTGTACAAAATCTATAATTTGAGAAAATCATGATTTTGGGGGCTATGACGCAATTTCTGAACGCATAAGATTGGCAAGAGTGTAGGTAAGATGTGTGGGAGGAACGCTGTAAATGGTGAATCTGCAAACTAGTTACCTGTTTGTTTTCATCTTGGATATCCCCATGGCTCACCGATTCATCCACATGCTAAGACCATTCATCTTGTTTATTCTTATTTTATTCACTGATTTTCATAGCATACCTCAAATCATTTTACAGACACATACAAAGTCCAGCCCCTGCCAAAGCGATTGCAATCTAAAAGAGTTTTTTTTTTTTTCAAATAAAGAGGGAGAAGGAAAGGAATACATGATTTGACCCCAAGCCTCATTGTCATATGATTGTTTAACTGCCTGTCTAATGATCTTTTGATATTGTTCCTCATAGTTAATGCTTGTTTTATGTTAACCCTGCCTCTTTTCTCCTTTTCAGTTTGTATACGTTTGATCCCATGTCTGTTGTTTTTAATGTTTCCTCAGCCTATACTTTTATAGCTCTTAATATTATTTATGAAACCTGGTCTAAACTTTTCATTTTATTTATTTATACTCTTGCCTATTTTATGCCCCTTCCTGTTTTGTTTTAATTCTCTTCCCAATACCAATGCCCCAACCTCCCCTTCCCTTTATGTGGTGTGTTCACCTCACTCCCTCCTGACAGACAGCTCTTCCCTTTTGTCATATTTCCCCTGCAGAAGTAAGGAAGTTCACTGTAGATGAAGAATGAGTCCATTTTGGGGGAGTGGAGTGGGGCAGTTGCCCCACACCAGGAAGAGGAAGGGTTAAAGCAGGCCAGAGGGAGCCTGCGCAGAACCCTCCAATTAGAGGAGGGCTCACCAATTAGAGGAGAGCCAATCAAGAGGTGACTTGTTGCAGCGGCCAATCAGGGCCAGCAGGGGCCATATATAAAGGGCTGCTCAAGACAGCAAAGGGCAGTCTAGAGAGAAGGACTGGCTGCCTAGGAGCACTAGGGGCTTGAGTAGTGTTGTGTGGGGTAGCAGAGCAGAAGGAGCTTATGGCTGACTGCTGCCAGACTGAGGCCCTGGAGGAAGGATAGATAAGGTGCTAGGGCTGCCCCCACTTACCACTGAGGGAAGTGGCCAACACAGACTGCAGTTTGCTGGAGCAAGGGATTAGCTTAGTGACTGCAGCAGGCAGCTGAATTGAGTGGCTGTACTACAGACTACTGGTTCCCCCAAAAGTGGGGGAGACAGCAGGGCATGGTGAGAGAGATGTGCCCAGAAGAGGATGCTGTGGTCTGGACAGTGATGCAGGTCCCAGAGTGTTGGAGATAGCAAAGTGTGAGTAATGGTGTGTGAGACACCATGGGAGGAAGGTGCCCTGCAGAAGGACTTGAGATAACTCCAGAATGGCCATCAGGAGGTGCCTCGGCGGTGAGTCCCACACTGCTACAAGGAGGAACTGGCCCTGTGCTCATAGGGAAGGTTCTGTAGTACTCATTGTACTGCACCATACCCACAAGCAATGGGATTGCAGCATGCACAGGTCAGGTAATGCTGGAAAAAGAGCTGCCTGTATTGTCAAGCTGAAGTGCCCAAAATGGGTTTATTGTCCCTCTCTGCTTGCTGCATGACTAGGCAAGTAACTTAGGGTCAGATTTTCAAAGATATTTCATTTCATTAGAAAATGGGTGCCTAAACTACTTAAGCACTTTTGAAAATCCCACTATATACATCTTTAGGGGCCTAATACCTCTGGCAGTTTTGCCCTTAGCTTCTGTGTGCCTCAATGGGAATAATAGCACATCTTGATCTCACATGGATATTAGACGCATTAAAGATTTTGTGCTTCACAGATACTACGACAAAGGAGACCAAGATAGAGGAAGCCCCTCAAAATCTATGGAATCTTTCCTTCTCCATCAACTGTCTTCCCCGTCTCTCTTCCTACCTTGCACTCTGCTGATTTCCTGCCCCCACTCCACACTGTTGCAAACACATGCTTTTATTGTGAGTCTTGAGTTTTAAAAGCTCTGGTTTCTGAATGAGAAGATGTATGTGGAAAATCTCAACTTTTATTATAACAGTCAGTTTTCAAGCCATGTGGTTTGGCAGAAAAGCATGAAGACATGACTCAGTATACCCTAAAAGCTCACAAACTGGAAGACAAATTAAAACACCCCAAAAATATTTTTAAAAATATAAGTCAAATTTAAGCCAATTTCTTGATTGGGGGAGGGGGTCCTGACCTAAGATTTTTTGTGTTGCTTAGGGTTAGTAATATTATGTCCCTCACATTCCCCCTGCATACTCCAGTCCACCTCATTTTTTCCCCTCCCTTTTCCTCCATAGCCTCTTGACCCTCAGTTTCTCTCCCTGCTCCTTAGTCTACCCTGCTGTCTCCATTTCCCCGTTTTTTTCTACTTCTCTCAGCCTCCATCTTTCCTTCTCTCACATTTCCCTCTCCCCCACAATCTTTCTCTGTTCCCACAGTCTCCAGCTCATCCTTTTCCCCACAACAGTCCCTTGTCCACTCACTGTCTCCTAAAACACAAGGGGTAGCCTGTCTTCTGTCTCACTGACAGTCAGTGACATTGAAACAATTTGTATAGTGGGGATGCTGAAAGCCATTAAACAAAACTGTAAACCCTGTACATGATGGAAACCACTTCAAGCCAAGGGGTGCTGCTGTCCTTGTGAACAAGGGCAAATGCTGGTAATAGAGCTGGTCAGGACTTCCTGATATATATTTTTTAAAGTCAGAAGGTTTTCCACACCCCAGCTGAGTGCCCTAAACACTTGGCTACAGAGTCAGTCTGACCCACCGCTGGCTTTGTTCTATTCTGGATGAATATTCACTGATATCACGAGAGACTGAGTGTCTAACCTGGTGCTTATGCCCCTACGTGGAATGTGGGAGATCTGGGTTCAAGTGCTTGCTCCAAGTCAGGTAGAGTACAGACTTGGACGTGGGTCTCCCACATCCCCACGTGACTACCGGGACCACTCAAGCTGCTATTTGGGAAGGTTCTCAGTTACCTGTTCTTCTCCTCTCATGTCTCTCACACCAAAAATTCAAAAGGGTTCAGTTTCATTCTGCATGGGAATGAAAACACATTTTGAACCTCACATTTTTTACGTGGAATTCTTGATTGCTGGCCAGCCCTAGTTAGGGTGACCAGATGTCTGGATTTTTTAGGGACAGTCCTGATATTTGGGGCTTTTTCTTATATAGGCACCTATTATCCTCCCCACCCCCACCACAATTTTTCACACTTGCTATCTGGTCACCCTAGCCCTAGTTGGCAAGAATATGTCAAGACATCATGAGAAGCCTTAAAATAATCCTCTAAAAATATGTGCAAGACTCATAATCATAGTGCAAGAGCTGGCAACTGTCTGCTCCTACACTGGCCTGCCTGCAGTTTAGCCAAAATCATGTCTCTTCCTCCCTGCCTATGTGAAGACCAAGACACGCTAAAATCATGATTAAATTCCAAGAGCTGACATGCCACTTCTTCTGAGCAAGGATTAACTAGAATCACACTGGCATATCCCACATAATCAACTTCAGGTCTTCCCATTACCTGCCTTGGTTTGTATTTTATATGTTGCTTTGGTATTTAGAGTTATTTTTAGTTTCACTGAGTTATTTATAGATACAAATGTTTCTCTTCTAGATTCATAATTGTTTCTCCATTCCATCCGGTCTTTTTCAAGGTAAGATAAATCTATAGTCAATGCATAAGTGAGAGATCTCATGGAGGACCCCATTCACTATTGCCCTGTTCCTGTGTAGTCTTTACACTTGTGAAAGGTGAGTGAAAAATGCTACCATTCTGACAGTAGTATTTAAATCCAATTTGCCCTGGTGTAAATGATCACAGACGGTGCAGGGCAATAGTGAATCAGACTCAGAGTATCTAAGGCAATAAGTTGCACTGGCAAATATCTCTCTCTACTACATTTCACAGCTTGACAAAACACACTAGTCCATAATGAGTATAAAGCTTTCTTGGACAAGTGTGGGGATCAGTATCATCAATTTCTGCAGAACCCAAGCTGTCATTTAAAATTAAATTTTGAGTCCTTATGGCTTTGAAGATTGCCTTCTAAATGTAAAGCTAGTGTTGTCATCTTAAGTCTGTAGGCAGACAGCCTCTGCTGCTGCTTATAACTTTGCCAAGGGGTCGCAGAGTTAAAACTGACCAGATTCTTGTCAGTTTTCATTGATGCTGTGCAAAATTCTGTAGGCCTCAATGAAAATGGCAAGAATTGGGTCAGTCTCTTTTTTGTTTTTTAAAGATTGTGTTCTAAAACTCCACATGGACTTTACACTGAAACAGATTGTATTGCTACATTGACAAAGTATTGCAGGGATTTTAACTGTGATTCCTATTGAATTTAATGGGAACTGCATGGCTGAAACCATTGTGTGGCTTCTTTGAAATGTAAGAGGCTACTGTGCAGGCCACACTAAACTAATCAAATGCTTTTTATAATGAAGGCTATTAGAGCTGCATTATGGGCACAATCTTGGTTCCATTGAAGCCAGTGGGAATTTTGCCATTGACTATGCTTCCTAGATGATGATGATGAAAGGAGTTTTTGTAGGTGACTGGCTGGCTTGAACTCTCGCTGAAGTAATTATTTAATGCTGTTTTCTTGAAATTGTATTGGTAGTGTGTGTCAGGGCACTGAAAGCCATGGATAGGTGTCTTTTCATTATTTTTAAAAATCTAAATAAATAAAGGGCCTTAAAAGGAGCAGGGCCAAAGTCTGTGGTGTCTTGGGATTTATAACCAACACAATTAAAGTCAAACGGCAACACTCCTGAATCAGATGTAAGGAAACAATGATAGAGCTTCATTTTCAATGAAACCATTGTGCAGTGAATTCATGGGTTGGTTGCTTGACTAGAGGTTTTCAAAGTAGACAAGAAGGGCATAAATAGATGCAGTTTACAAATAGTAAAAAGGAAACAGCCCCTCAGCTCATCAGTTTTATCTGAATCAAGATGTCTGTTTAATTAGGCATTTATTTTGTTTTTTTAATTTTTAAATTCTGAATCCGATAATATTGTTACGACCAGCCATTCTTGCCTTTGTGACATCTGATAGATAAATAATGTAGCCTTTCTGAGCTTGCGAAACTATACTTTCTTTTTGGTATCCTCACCTTGACTGCATTGATTCTGTCCATATTGAAATACCATTACTTTTTTAATACTCTTAAAATAATTTTAATCATTTCTCTATTTGAAGGGATGTTGGATGTGGAATATATTTGTCATTTAATCTTTTAATAGCAGCTGCTTCCTGTATTTTAACCCTCTGGTACCTTTTATAATTCATATCTTTGTATTTAGGATTATATTAGTTACAGTAGGCCTGCTTTTTTCAGAGGTGCTATGCACTTCCACAGCCCATTGAATTCAATTAGATGATGTGGGGGCTCATCTCTTGAAATTGGGCCCAGTGGGTTTTTTCTCTCCACTTTCAGTCCATCTCAGGACTGTATGGTAATCGCCCTCTTTATAGCAGAGGAGGATTGGACAGAACACAGCTCCTTTGGAAGACACAGTTGTTCTTCAAAAGGCGATTCCATACCAGGGAACACTTGAATTAAATGTTTGTGTTTCTGTTTTGGTGTTTTCTCCATGACTTTTTTTGTCATCTTTGCTAATTATCATCAATGATTGCTTTTAAACAAATGTCATCTTGTACAGACCACCCTCCCATTTTTCCTTGCCATGAAGTCATATAATGCTGAATTTGGGACATCACATTCATTTCCATGGTAACAGATTGTGATTTCATGAACACAGGGTTTCACTGTAGGACTGAGGTGGGCTGTGAGGGAGAGAACTCTGAAACACATACAATACCCTTAAAAATAGCCCTGGGGATTCAGAGAGTTACTGCAAAGTGAATTGCCTTTTTTTGTAAATGTTCCCTCCTTTTCATATCTCCCATGGGGTTAAGTATATCACCTGGTAAATGCTTCCAGCCACTTCCATCCTAGTGAGTAAGACCTGGTCTACACTAGATGGTTAGGTTGACGCAAGGCAGTGTATGTCAATCTAGCTATGGATGAGTCTACAATTAAATTTCCCTCTCGCCAATGTAACTGCCCTACTACCACCTCCCTAAGCAGTGCAGAGTCAGGGTCGATGTAGTTAGGTGGACAGTGTCAGTGTAGACACTGCATTTCTTATGTCAGCTGTTACTGGCCTCCAGTAACTGACCACTGTGGTTACCATTGTGAACTTCACTGGCAAGGTGGACAGGAAGCCGCCCTTCCCCTTGAAAGCCCCATGAATTTTTGAAATTCCTTTTCCTGGTTGCCCAGCTCAGCAAACACACCTAGCTCTCCACTGTTGAGTGTAACTGCCCAGCTGACCATGGCTACATGCTGCAGATGCGCTCCTGCCTGGAGTACATAAGTGGTGTTGGATCTTCTGGGTCTGTGGGGAGAAGAGGCTGTGCAGGCATAGCTCCAATCCAGCCGTAGAAACACGGACATCTGTCTGTTACCATGGGTCTGTATTTTCCCAGACATGACCTCTTTGGGTCCTCTGATCTGTCTGGATGGATTTTTGAAATCTGACCAAATGTCCCTGATTTTGAGCTGGGTGACCACAGAGCAGCAGCTGTTGGCTGGGCGCCCTGCTCTGAAGGCAGTGCTGAAGTAAGGGTGGCATGGTATGGTATTGCCACCCTTACTTCTGCACTGCCTCTGGGAGCAGTGCTGCCTTCAGAGCTGGGCAGCTGGAGAGCAGCGGCTACTGTGCCCCCAGCTTTCCCTTCTCTCCCCTGGTAGTGTCTTCTATTTGGGAACTTGAAATATGGTAACCCTACATCTATGAGCAGATTGCTCAGGGGATGCAGGAGAAGGGCTAAAACAGGGACTAGCCCCATTGCCACATAAAAGCCAAGGAGCTGTAGCAGGCATACCAGAAGGCCAAGGAGGCCAACATTAGATTTGGTGTGGAGCTGCAGACCTGCTGCTTTTTACAAAGAGCTGCAGTCTGGTTCCTTCACTAATTAACCACTAGGCCAGCCTCAATCCAGGTGTTTTCCAATTCCCCTAAAAAGAGCAGCACAGTTGATATTCCCCTCCACCCCACCCCGCCCCGCCCCCACTATGCAGCTATGGGTCTTAGTTTTACTGACATTGAGCGATCATTTTCTCAGCACACTGTCAGAACTTAACTGTTAAAAATAACAGGAAAATCAGTTAAGACTAATACAGTGCTTTTCACCCGCAATCTCAAATCCTATTGAAATGAACATTTACTTAGCCCAGATAATGATCCTCTCAGGCAAATCTTTCTCTGCCATTGCGTACAAGCCTGTCTGCCAATGCCAGCACTCTGAACAAAGACATGGGAAGATAAAAAAGGTAGAACTTTATATAATTTAGTGAACAATTCACTCTTTCTAAGGAGTTATTAGTGACAGGAGAACTTCAAATGGTTTGCAGGCTACTCAGGCTTATTTCAGCTCAGATAAGTGCTCAGCAATTTGGATGCTTATATGAAGCCTAGATTATCTAAATTTCTTGCTATCAGGAGAAATCTTTAGATCTGTAACTGGATGTGATTAAAAACTTCTTCATAAGCCTTTGCTAGCTGTAATGCCTATTGCAGAACATCTCTGGAATGCAGCAAACCCCCATAAAGATGTGCATTATTTGTTTTGATCAACTTACCTTTTTTTAAAAAAGATGAGGCCTTTAGGAATGATGCAAAGAGTTGCTGATATCCTTAGCAGATGCAGAACCATTGTTAAAATAGCTCTCTCAGACTCAAGTGCTGTTAAACATTGATGCATTGAGCAACCCAGTAAAAACACACTTTGTCTGACATTATGTTTGTCTTTGTCACAAATGGTTTGCAGGAGATATTATTGTTGGAACGTTGCACCATATTCGGCATTCCCAGCACTAATTCTGTCTTCAGGACTTCAATTGTCCCTGCTTCTTCCTGGAAACCTTTAATAAATAAAAAAACCAAAAGAAAAAAAAACTGAGTTAATACAGTGCTAGTGAAAGCAAAGTAATTGCATTTCAATTCTGATTTGTACCTCTCCTTGTTTCAGTCTGGGCCTCCCAATCATGTGAGAAGTTAGAAATATGGGCAGGAAATAATTAAATGTGATTCTATTTCAAAAGTGCACACTTGTGCCTCTGAGGAAAGTTACTGGGGATGTAGTTACCTAATGGGAGAGACAGATCCTGTAAGTTAGTAATAGTACAAGAGACCTAGAGATGCAGTTGGACACAATTACAAATTTGTGGTGTGCTAAGGCCATAAAAGCTGTTAAGTTTTGGTAATAAGTAATAAATCTGGGTGATGCTATTCCCAGACATTGCAGTTCTGGTGAGATGGAAACTGGAATACTGACCTGCATTTTTAGACATGGTGGGCCAAATTCTCTGCTGGTGTAAATCAGCACTATGGCGCTGTACCAATTTATATCTGCAGAGAATTTGGCCCGTCAACACCCGCAAGATGTAGACAAATTGGAAGGAGTTCAGAGAGAGGAGGGAGGAATTACTGTGTGAGGAAAGGTTTGATAAGCAAAATGGCTATATCTTAGCTAAGCAGTGACTTGAAGGGGTGGAGGGTTAGGAGATACGTAATGAAGTCTCCATATAATGTGCAAGGTATAAAAGAGAGGAAGGCTGGTGTTACAGTTGAGGCCCTGCATTGGGAC